TTCCCAGGAGGCATCGGGGAAAGACTGTTACACTCAGAACCGGAGACCTGGCGCGACCTCGCCTCTCTCAGCCTCGGTAACACGTAAATCTGGGAAATGGCCATAATTGCAGCTTCCCAGAGTGCACAGAGGACCGTGAGCTTTATTGTTATTATCTTTCTGGCTCCCTTTGTATCTCCATACCTCTCGGTGCTGTGCTTGACTCATATCATAGTGGACACTAATCAATATTTGATGAATGTGCGAGTTAACTGAAATAACAAACGTGAGAGGGCTTTGCAAACAGCAGAGCGGGGCCTCAGCAAAAGATCTTTGCTTCTCAGTACGCGTATTCTGTGCTTCGCAAACAGCCTGCATTAAGTGTCTTCTCCCCTTGAAACTGACCCTTCCCCCTGTCATGGGACTCAAAGGGCCAGCCCATCTGACAGAGCGTCTCTGGGCTGGCCAGCTGAGTGATAGCTGTGCCGACAACACTGGCGAGATACGCAGTTGCCTAAGAGCTCGGAGGTGGCCTCACCCTCCAAGGGCTTGGCCTCTCGACCCCAGCCCCTGCTGACACGCACGCACCTGCAGCCCTTCTCTGGCTCCAGGGCGGGCAGACTCCCTGAGCTCCTTTGCTGTCCTCGTTGGCACTGGCAGGGGTGGGAGGCACGTCGAGGAAGGGGCATGGCAGGCCTCTGCTGGGACTCCTAGCGCGGAAGCAGGACCACTAATTGCATCCCCTCTGTGGCTTCTCCGGACGGTAGAGACAATCGAGTGCTCCTTTGTGGAACATTGTTTGTATCTCCAACCTCCTACCCACAACTTCCCGTCCATGCCCATGCCAGGAGAGAACGGGTCTTCTCTCCGCGTTCTCTCTCCCGTGTGTCGCCCACCAGACAAATGACTCATCCACGTTGCCATGACCCTCCAAGGATCGTGGGCCGGTGGGAGTGGGAGGGACTTTTAACAGGCGTTGGTTGACGGGACCAGCGTCCTCAGAACAAGTGAGGAGAGACAGGTGCCTTCTCGTCCACCAGTTCTCCCCGCAGGTGCAGCTGAGGGAGCAGCGGTAGAAGCTCCGGCTGAGGAGGAGGAGCCTGTGTTCCGGACCTTCCACGTGGGGATGCGGGGCTTGCCACCCATCACTCTGAGCTTCAGAAATCAGGGTGGTGCCAGCATGACCTCTCAGGGTCATTGTGATCATGAAAATGGATGATGATGCTTCAAGTGGCATAAAGTTGTTCACACCTGTTATTACTCACGCATAGTGAGCGCACCAGGACGGACGTGCAGAGCCCTCATCAAGTGCGGCACTTCCCCTAATGCAATCCCCACAACAGCCCTCCCTACAGGATTGGGTTGTTTTGCCGGTTTTATGGGTGAGGAATCGGAGGCTCCGAAGGGTAAAGAACTTGCCCAGAGCCACCCAGCTAATGTGTGTTCGAGCCTGCACTTAAGTCCAGGCCCACTTCCACCTCCACCAGCTCACGATGCTTCTCTCCTGCATGCCGTTGCGCTGTCTCTTAAAATTCTTGCAGACTCCTCTGGCCTTCACCACCTGAACCCACCCTCTCACCGGAACCCTTCGTGCTAGAACTCTCGCTGGAGTTTCTTGTTTGCTTACTGCTTGGGCTTCGGATGTTCTTCTTGGCCCTGCTGTCAGCTTACCTGCCCTGACCTCTAAGCACGGGGCGCACCAACACTGACCGAGCACCTTTCTGGAAGCAGGCACCTGGGCTTGTGAATCGAGGGGGAAAGGCCATTCCCTTCCCTTCCCCGGGCTCTGGGACGTCTCTGCCCATATGAAAGCCATCGCCTCAGCCCTGACTGTCCAGGGAGGAGGAGCGCCCACATTTCATTGTTGATCCCCCCTCTGGAAATCACTAGGCATGATTTCCCAGGCAGACCCTTCAGAGAAACAGCGATGCTTCAGATCTTCAACTTGGCAACTAGGAGTGAGGCAGAGATGGGAAAAGGAGATAGAGGGACTTGCCTCACTTCGCTTAGTGAGTGGGTCATGGAAGGGAAAACTTATGTCATCAGTCCCTGTGTGTCCTTGGGCACCAGGCACCTCTGGGTGGTTGCTATGCTGGCTGAGCATTGGCTGTGGGCTGGGCATAGGGCAGGCCCTTGGAGGGCTGTCACTCAGAGTACCCCACCGCCTGGCACCTCACTCCCAGACCCATGTCCTGACCCTACCTAATGGTCAGAGAAGGTGCTACAGGGCAACTCCTCACTCGGGGGTCCTACCTGAGAAGCTGGTCCCGGGGCACCCACTCCCCAGGTGGGTCTCTTCTTGGGGAGATGCATTCACAGATGCTACCAGCTCCCCCAGCATCAGGCATCTCCCCTACAATTAGGCAAGAGATAAATCAAAGCCCAGTGTGGCTGATGACATTCAGGAGCCAGTGGTGACCCCTGCCACACATATAAATCCCAGCGGGCTGGCCGGGGCCTTTGTCTGGGCAGGAGAGCTCAGGACTATCTGGCCCTCTTTGCTGATGTATGGAGTCACTGACTGTCGGGGTGTTTACGAACGGTTATCACCTCAATGCTGCGGCCATTATCAGAGGCAGGGCCGCCTGCCGGGGCCAGGGCTCGCACCCTCTCTATTACCACCTGTCATTGGCAGGGAGTGTGCGCTGACGCTGCCCAGTCCCGGCTGCCGCGGGGAGATAGTTTCTGACGGCTGATCAAAGAGGAGCAGCAAGGCCTGATAAAGAGTGTGCGTCGCGTGTACTTTTAACTCGGGGAACATTGGCATTTGCATTTTCCCCCCATCTTCCTGGTGCTGGCAGGAACCGAGCCCAATAAATGCCGTGGATTCGGTTACCTAATCACCGGGGAAATGGCATGTGCTTAAAGCAACAGAGCAGGACTGTAATCTCTTTCCAAGAGAGAGTGGATGAAATAAGCTTTCACAGAAGACTCGCCGTATAATAAAGCAGAATAATTTAAATGGGGACTTTGAAGTGAGCTTGCGTTAGAAGCTGGCCCTGGCCCTCGGCAGGGCATCGTGTACGTTTTGGAATGTGGGAGCAGCTTCAGATTAAGGGGAGATCTTTGCTGAAGGTGCTGTCACCCAACCCTTGCTGGCATCCCCCAAATGGGGCCCCAGGTGTGCTCAGCCTTTGGCGGCTGGGAGGCGATGGCCATGGAGCAGAATGAGTTCTCCAAACATCAGAGATCTCAGTTATTTTATTTATATTTCTCAATTACAGTTTACATTCAGTAGCATTTTGTATTAGTGTCAGGTACACAGCATAGTGGTTAGACAATCATATACTTTATTTTTATTTATTTATTTACTAGAGGCCCAGTGCACAAAATTCGTGCACAGATAGGGTCGCTATGCCTGGCCGGTGATCAGGGCTGATCTGTGGGGCCCCCGCTGGCACCCGCCTTGGCCAGCCTGGCACCACCTGCTCACCGGCCCTGCCCCCCCGCCTCCACTGCCAGTCACCTCCCTCTGCAGGGTGACCTGCAGGGGAATGGGGAGGGGGGGGCTCGCTGGCACCCGCCTTGTCTGGCCTGGGGTCTGCGGGGGGTGGGGGGGGCAGATCCTGCATTGAGCGTCTGCCCCCTGGTGGTCAGTGCACGTCATAGCGACCGGTCATTCTGCCGGTTCTGCTGTTCAGTCGATTTGCCTATTAGGCTTTTATTATATAGGGTATCTTTATTTTAATTTATCTTTATTGTTGAAAGTATTACAGATGTCTCCTTTGTTTGTTTGTTTTTCCCACTGACCCCCTCCACCCCACCCCTGCCCCTCTGGGCTTCATCACTCCACTGTCTGTGTCCATGGGCTGTGTGTATATGTGTATAAGTTCCCCAGTTAATCACTCCCCACCCCACATCCCACCCTCATCTTCCCCCTGAAATTTGTCCGTCTATTCCAGGCTTCTATTTCTCTGCATCTATTTTGTTCATCATTAGATTCCATATGTGAGTAAGATCATGTGATAAAGACAATCCTATCCTTTACCCAGTGTTCCCCCTGATATTTCCAGGACCCACCTGGCACCACATTTAGTTGTTACATGGTAATAACAGATATCTGAGTTCTTGAACCAGGTTGCCCACAAACGTGCTGTTGGATTTGGGGCCATAACTTCTCTGAAGTTCAAATGTAAAATGAGGAGGTGTGGTATGGGATATAGTGGTTTAGAAAGTTTAAGTTTACGCTTTATAACTCCTGTTTTAAATGAATCTTAAGGGAAGCTGTATTGTATCAAACAGAGACAAGTAGAGGTGTTTTGGTTGAACCTGGGAAGGAGGTTCGCTGCCCTTGACCTAGTCCCTAGGCCTGGCCAACGATCAGGGCTGATCTGTGGAACCCCCTAGTCCCTGAAGCCGTTCCTAGAGACTTCAGAAGGACCCTGTCGCTGCTCAGAAAACAGTTGAAAAACCACTCACCCAGCGACATCATAGAGGTCATTTCCTGGAGGTCTACACTTTGACCAGTGGCATAGCTGCTGCTTTCTGTCCTACACATTCATGGTGTGTGTGTGTGTGTGTGTGTGTGTGTGTGTGTGTGTTAATTAATTTTTAAGAGAGAAGCATTGACTCATTGTTGATGCACTTATTGATGCACTCATTGGTTGGTTCTTGTATGTGCCCTGACTGGGGATCGAACCTGCGACCTTGATGTATCAGGTCGATGCTCTAATCAACCCAGCTACCTGTCCAGGCCCCACGTTCGTGGTTTGTAGTGCTCTCTCCTCCGTCTGTCCTGGAGAAGAGCTAACTGGCCCCTGGACAGGGCAGGGAGCTGGTGGTGGGTAGACAAATAGAAGGGGCTCTGCCAGCGTGGACTCAGTGTGCCATGTCCCTGTGCTGCAGGTACCTTTGACCGGAGCGTGACCCTGCTGGAGGTGTGCGGGAGCTGGCCCGAGGGCTTCGGGCTGCGGCACATGTCCTCCATGGAGCACACCGAGGAGGGCCTGCGGGAGCGGCTCGCCGACGCCATGGCCGAGTCGCCCAGCCGGGACGTGGTGGGATCCGGAACAGGTAACGTGGCATCACGCTCCTCGCCTGACTTGGTCACGACTGGCACCTGCTGGTGTGGAGCTTCTTTGGCGGGAGAGGGTGTGTGTTGGTTTTAACTGCTTGTTTCTTTAGTTAGCTCTCTGATTGCTGCCCCTGGGGAAGCTTCCAGGGATGGGAAACCCTGTGGAAAGGGGAGTTCCCTGTGGAACGGACCCGTCCTTGGTGGAATAATTCATACAAAAAATTGTCATGAACGTAGTATTCTCTAAGTGGCTCCCAGAAGGGCACCTTCTCCAGGGGAAGGGACCACGTTGGCATCTCGGAGGTTTTCAGCAGCCCTTTGGCACTGAGCACTTAGGCCGCACCCCTGCTCCTGCCACGCTGGAGGCTTCCCAGAATGGCAGGTATGGGGGCGGGGCCTGCCACCTGGTGGGGGGGAGCAGGAATGAAGCAGGCAGGGATGGTTTGAGCCCGCCAAGCAGTTTCCTCTTATGCTGCCTTTCACCCTTGTCTTGCCTCTGAGAGAGCCCAGCAACAGGCCCGGGGTGGCTTCCCGCATCTGTAGAGCAGGCAGAAGACATCCTTAGGTGATGGGTGAGCGCTGCCCCAGCAAGCAGGTGTACACATGCACGCACACACACGTGCACGTGCACACACACAGAGAGCACGCACTTAGGAAAGACCTCCATCTCCACACGGTCACAGGACAGCCTGCCCTCTTTGTCCAAAGCACCTCCTCATTCTGGGTAACTGTGCTGTTCGTGGCTGCGGTAGCCCAGCCTTTATGCCTGAAAAAGACTGCCCCACAGGCTGCTTCCCAGCTTCCTGAGCTCAGCGGGAACGCGTACAGGGGTCACGCAGGTCCCGGCAGCAGGCCCTCCCACTCCTGCTTTCCTTTACTGTGAACTGCCCCGTCCCTGCTCCCCACGCTCCCTGGAGAGAGGATCCCAGAGAGGAGGAACTTACAACCCTGGGGCAGGGACCAGGACCAGCGAGGTGTTGAGGGTCCAACTACTTGGGCCGGGCTTGAAACGCCTGACGCACGTTATCCCACAGTCTCACTTCCCGGCGGATCCTCCGGGACATTTGGGTACCGGGGGTCAGCAGTTAAGCTTTTCTCGCTCTTCTTCCCCCTCCCGTTTAGCCCCTGTGTTCCTGCACAAGGAGGAAAGAGACACTGCACTCATCTCTCTCCCCACAGGGCTAGCGTCGTCCTGCCCATAGTGCTTGTATACTAATTGGCAAAGGAACAGGATGGAGGCAAGAGAGGGCGAGAAGCGGCTTAGCTAGAGGCACCAAGTACCTGCTCAGGCCCGGCAGACGGCCAGCCGTCTCTGAGGCCCAGCATCCTTCCACGCCCCTTCGCCCCTGGAAGGGGAGGACGCTGCCACACCACGTCACGTCCATCCCCTCGTGCAGGTCCAGACACGTGCACACCCTCCCGCTCCCCCCACCAAGAGCTCCCAGCTGTGGCAGCTGCTCACTGTGCCCTTGTTCTCCCACCTGGGCCCACAGGTGAGGGGCAGCTCTGCTCTTGCTGGGGCTTTCACCCCATTTTCCTGGAAAGTTGGCCGAAGCCAGGAACACTTTCCCCTTCTGAACCTCGCTCGGAGCACAGCCTTTCCCCTGAATCTCTGGGGCCCTGGCCGGCCCCAGTTCACATAAACCAGGGCCTGGTGTCCCCAGGGTGACTCCCGGAGCTGCCCTTCCAGGGGCTGGAGCCGCTGTGGGTCGGCTTCCTCTGAAGCCCCTTGGAGCACCTGAGAGCCAGCCAGCAAGCGGATCGGAGGTGCCTGCACTCGGGGTTGGGACTTCAGCCTGGCACAGACAGTCAGAAACTGAGCAAAACTGGCAGCGAGCCATCTGCCAGACAGCTGGGGGCCCCGGGGAGACTCTGTGGCCTTAAGCAGGTTCATGAAATTAAAAAAAGAAATGAGAGAGGAAATTAAAACGGAATGACCCAGGGGTCAAAAAAATAGGAGACGCCCTTTTAAGGCAGAGGGACCGCATGTCCCGCCCCCAGCTGCTACGGAGGGGATCCTTCGGGCCTTCTTGGGCCATGGAAAGGTGCGCTTTATTTTCCAAACACTCTGCCGCGGCGTGCAAGGCCAGCAAGTAAAGCAGAGAGGACGGAAGTTAGCCTGGTTCCCTCTGCCGTTGCTGAGAATCACCTTTCACGGTTTAGAACTGCAGACGAAGCCTGGCCGGCGGGGCAGCCCAGTCTGGACGGGGCAGCGAGCACTCCCATGCCCGTCAGCCTGCTGCCCAGAGAGAGCCGGGGAAATACAGTGCCGTGTGGGGTGGGAATTTCTGGCAAGTCACCCTTGGCCATAGCAGCCTCTCTCAGTCTCTCCCCCCCGCCAACCCTGCTTCTGTGGGGGGCGCACAGGATAGGGGACAGCCAGTGTTTACCTGTCAGGCACCAGAGATGGTGGTTTTAGTGCAGCCACCGGCCTGCTGGCCTCTTACCAAGGTTGCATGGAGCATGCTCTCATGACCCCTGACCCTGCAGCCCAGTATGCCTCGCTCTTCTGCAGGTTTAGCTAGTGACTCGCTGGTAGAGGTTTAACACCCAGCTCTCCACAGGGAAGCGGGAAAAGCCCTGATTTGTAACATTTGGGGATTGCCGTCGTGTAAAAACTCTATGGCCAGTTTCAAGCTATCAACATGTCAGTCGTCTAGCAGAATTCCTGAGAAGGTGACATCAGCTTATTGGTTTATTAATTACCCCAGCACCCCGCCGCCGGTGAGCTGTCCCATAGTGCAACTTGGCTCTCCCCCCCCCGCCCCCAGAACAGCAGAGCCTGTCCAAACCTTACTACGCAGCGTGGTCCACGACCCAGCAGCACCATCTGCACCCAGTTGCTGATCAGAAATGCGGAATCCCAGACCCCACATCGCCCCTCTGGGTCAGCACCCGCATTTAACAAGCCCTTGACGCACGTTCAGCTGTGAGAAAGTCCGTGTCAAAACACGGCGGACCTCTGAGGCAGTGTGAGCTCTGGCCTCCGTGACGGCTGCTGACCACTGAGTCTAATTAGGTCACATGTGCGACTGGCCAGTCCGGCTCTACAATAACCGGCTGGACTGCTTTCTTGCTAATATCATTACCTCCCCGCCACCCCTGTTTACGCTTCCCTTGTCCCCATTCAGCAGAATTCCAAATTGAGGTCAGTCAAACTCTGCTCTCACTGCGGTTGCTGAAGGAAAATCACAGACTGGTCAGATTGGTGCCCCGGCACATGGGTGGCCTCCCCTCTCCGTGAGTCCTGTACGTCCCTACCACCCCCTTCTCCTCGTCTCAGGTTGCACTCATCGTTTGCAGCAGAAACTAGTGCTTGGAGCAGGGTCCAGCCCTTCATGGGTCTGCAGTCACTGCTGAAAGAATGAATTCTCCATTCAGCCTAAGCCCATGGCCGGCAAACTGAGGCTCTCGAGCCACATGCGGCTCTTTGGCCCCTTGAGTGTGGCTCTTCCTAAGCCTTAGGAGTACCCTAATGAAGTTAATAACGTACCTACCTATATACTTTAAGTTTAAAAAATTTGGCTCCTCAAAAGAAATTTCAAACGTTGTACTGTTGATATTTGGCTCTGTTAACTGATGAGTTTGCCGACCACTGGCCTAGACGTTAGCCGTCCCGTGACCACCCCTGCTTGCTGCTGGGGCACCCAGTCTATTTTCGTCCTCTTAATGACTCCCCGGGTCTCTGGTCCTCCAAGAGCTTGTATATTCTTTTTAACTTTTTTTTTTTCATAGAATTGCTAGTTATTTAGTAGGACTTAATGTGCTGTTTATTTAGTGGGGTACATAGCTCAGTCCATCATCTTGAAATCAGTCTCTTTCCTTCTTCACGGACACTATTTCGAACTCTCCTCTCCCAAATCTCTTCCCCACCATCGTGTCTCTCGCTCTCAGAAAATGGCTCGGTGGTGGCCGGCATTGAAGAAACCTCTTGAGTTCCTGCACTCAGACCCTAAATGTCCCTGCAACAGCTTTCCTCTCTCCTCCAGTTCCTGCCCCGAGATCGCCCAACTGCCGCAGCCACTCGCCGGTTTACCTCAACACTGTCAACCAAGTCCCTGCAGCCCAGACCGGCCCTGTGCACACGCCCTGTGACCTTGATCTTGCTTTCCCATGCTCTCCTGGCTTGATGTCTGCCTCGGGCCACTTCTCAATTCCTGCCCTGGGTTTTCCTCATCTTCAGCCTCAGTGTATTTCTCGAGGCCTCTCTCGGCCTCTTTTCCCTCCGTCAGTACAGGGCATCTCCACTGCTCCTGTGGCTGCTAATGCCATCTACAAACTGATCACTTCCAAGTAAGCTCCCAGTTGGCTCTCTCTCCTGGTCTCCAGTACCACCTAGACCAGCGGTTATCAACCTGTGGGTCTCGACCCCTTTGGGGGTCGAACGACCCTTTCACAGGGGTCACCTAAGACTATCGGAAAACACATATATAATTACATATTGTTTTGTGATTAATCACTATGCTTTAATTATGTTCAATTTGTAACAGTGAAATTGGGGGTCACCACAACATGAGGAACTGTATTAAAGGGTCGCGGCATTAGGAAGGTTGAGAACCACTGATCTAAACAGTCACCCACTGACATCTCTGCATCCACAGCTTGAACCGCTCTCCCCTGCCCTGTCCTTCTCCTGGGCTCGCCCACCTCATTGTGTCCAAAGCCTTCGCGACCAGCCGCTGCCCTCTCTCCGGCCAAGCCGAGCTCCCCGAGGGTCTCCGAGCACACGTGTCCTCTCCACCTGCCCGGCCTCTGCACATACCTCTCCCTGGGCCTGGAATGCCGGCTCCCGCAGCCCCCTCCTCTCCCTCTCACCCCCCTCAAAATAGCTTGACTAATTCCTGCTTAGCAGACATTCCTTTCAAAATTGCCTTTTGTAGAAAAGTAGAATTTTTTAAATAAGCAAAACATTGACTTTTTCCAATTGTTTTGTGTCTAGGTAAAGATATAACCGAATATCCCAAAAAAATTTTAATAAACACCTGGATACATATCAAGCACATTTTCTCTTTAGACGTTAACTCTTTCCATCGCTATTTAGCTACACCTTGCCTTTGTCTTCTGCTCTCTCTGACGTCCAACAACAAGAGCCCCACACCTCACACACAGGGCCCTGGTCAGCTGTTTAGAGTGTTCCTGAGCGTCTGTGTTGCAGGCCGCCTCCTTTTGCTGCTGTTGACTTAGGAGCTCACTAAGTCGGTTCTCAAGGTCAAGGAGGACTGTCTCTCCCCTGTGGCTGTGGCTGTGGCTTCCTGCAGTCCTGGGAACCCTGCTCATTCTCCTTTAGGCTTCGTCTTTTCTGTCTGCCGTCTCTTTAACACACTCTCTTCTAACCCAGAGGCAGTTCCTCGTGGGGATCACACTGTGGGCTCAACCTTGGCCTCCTACCTGCTGTCATAAATACATTTATTTCCTTACCCAGATATAGAAAACTTTCACAAGACAATATTATATAAGCAATGCATTCTGGTACTTTCTATTTTATTTCTTTTTTATTGAGATGTCACAAACAGCTAACGTGATTTCACAATACGGGT